TTAGCGTTGTTTAAGAAAATGCATCTTGATTGCCTAAAGCCTGACTGTGTTACGATTGCAAGTCTTTTGAGTGCCTGTGCATCAGCTGGGGCTCTTCCGATTGGAAAACAATTCCACTCGTATGCGATGAAGGCTGGAATGATTTCTAACATTGTTGTGGAAGGTTCATTGCTTGATCTTTATGTAAAATGCTCTGATATAAAAACTGCCCATGATTTTTTCATTGCATCTGAAACTGAAAACGTGGTGCTGTGGAATATGATGCTTGTAGCTTATGGCCAGTTAGACAATCTGAAAAAATCATTTCAAATATTTACGCAGATGCAGATAGAGGGCATTGTACCTAATCAATTCACATATCCAAGGATTTTGAAAACTTGCACTACTTTGGGAGCTATTGATCTAGGAGAACAGATTCATACTCAAGTACTGAAAATCGGCTTTCAGTTCAATGTGTATGTCTCTAGTGTGCTTATTGACATGTATACTAAACACGGAAAAGTAGATACTGCCTTGAAAATCTTTAGAAGACTAAAAGAAAATGACGTTGTTTCGTGGACAGCTATGATTGCTGGGTACACACAACATAATAAGTTCGTTGAAGCTCTTAATCTCTTTAAAGAAATGCAAGATCAAGGGATACAATCTGATAATATTGGGTTTGCAAGTGCAATAAGTGCATGTGCAGGTATCCAAGCACTTGATCAAGGAAGGCAGATTCACGCACAGTCATGTCTATCTGGTTATTCAGACGATCTTTCAATTGGTAATGCACTTGTTAGTCTTTATGCTAGGTGCGGGAAAGTGCGAGAAGCATACTCTGCTTTTTATCAAATATTTACCAAAGACAATGTGTCATGGAATTCGCTGATATCTGGTTTTGCACAAAGTGGATATTTCGAGGAAGCGCTAAATATATTCGCTCAAATGAATAAAGCTGGACTAGAAATTAATTCCTTCACATTTGGCTCTGCAGTTTGTGCTGCTGCCAATGCTGCTAATGTTAGAACAGGGAATCAGATTCATGCCATGATTAAGAAAACTGGCTGTGACTCAGAAATCGAGGTTTCTAATGCTTTGATCACATTATATGCAAAATGTGGTTGTATTGATGATGCCAAGAGACACTTCTTTGAAATGCCCGACAAAAATGAGGTTTCTTGGAATGCCATGATTACTGGTTATTCCCAACATGGTCGTGGATTTGAAGCACTTAGCCTTTTTGAGGATATGAAACAACTTGATGTATTGCCAAACCATGTCACGTTTGTGGGAGTTTTATCGGCATGCAGTCATGTGGGTTTGGTGGATGAGGGAATTAGCTACTTCCAGTCAATGAGTGAAGCTCATAACTTGGTGCCAAAACCTGAACATTATGCATGTGTTGTGGATCTTCTTGGGCGGTCTGGTCTCTTAAGTCGCGCAAGGAGGTTTGTTGAGGAGATGCCAATTCAACCAGATGCAATGGTGTGGAGGACCCTTTTAAGTGCTTGTAATGTTCATAAGGATATTGATATTGGAGAGTTTGCTGCAAGTAATCTTCTGGAACTGGAACCGAAAGATTCAGCAACATATGTTCTTCTTTCAAATATGTATGCATTGTCTGGGAAATGGGGGTGTAGGGATCGAACGAGGCAAATGATGAAAGATCGGGGTGTTAAGAAAGAGCCTGGCTGTAGCTGGATCGAGGTTAACAATTCTGTTCATGCATTTTTTGCTGGGGATCAAAATCACCCACTCGCAGATATAATATATGAATATATCAGCGACCTGAGTTTTCGAGCAGCTGAAAATGGTTATGTATCACAGTGCAACAACCTTCTCAGTGATGCAGAAATACGTCAAAAGCATCCAAACGAAATCATTCACAGTGAGAAACTGGCAATTGCTTTTGGATTGCTTAGTTTATCTAGCTCCATTCCTATACACGTTTTTAAAAATCTCCGTGTTTGTGGAGATTGCCACAACTGGATTAAGCATGTCTCTCAGATATCAGACCGAGTGATCATAGTGAGAGATTCATATCGCTTTCATCATTTCAAAGTCGGCAGTTGTTCCTGTAAAGATTATTGGTAAGACTGAATAAGGTTGGCCAAACTAAAGAGTCCTTCAAGACTTGTGGCATTGACCACAGTTTGTGACAAGTGTGGAAAATAGTTTTTATTGGTGGACCATATCTGGTAAGATCTCTAACCTGAAATTGTTGGATACATCCATTCTATACATCCAGAGGCCTAATTTTTATTTCCAAATTTCTTCTTACAGTAAACTCTGAAAACCCTTCCGATGGAGGCAGCACCATTGTTGATTAACAGAAACATTCATTACAGTGAACATGGATGAACACCGATTTTTAAGGGGACTACAGTGTCACCGTCAACATGTGACGGCTTCATAGTAGTCTGTTTTGGTATTGTTGACTGCGAAGGACTCTGAGGGTGACAGGATGGATGGTGCGGTTCGCAATGAACAGCATGAAGAATGGATTCTTGCTGCCTTGTAATGTGGGTAACCTCTGCTAGCTCATTGTTGTAAGCTTTTCAGTATGTATAATTCATCTTTTTAACTCAATTGTCCCCAGTCCTTTCTACTAAGTTGTTGGATTTATGATTACGTTTCGTGCAAAATGTTGCCATGATCATTTTCTGATGTTCTTTCATGATTTATGCAACTAGGGAGAAATGGGAGAGCTTTTTCATTTTGTTATTAGGATGAAAGAAGATAGGCATCTCTTGGTTTAGCTCCACCTTGTGGCTGATGTTTATTTTGGTGATTGTTGTGAAGAGTTGAATTGGGAGTATAGAAGAGCTTACAAAAAGTATCAGAAGCATTCTCAAAATATATCAATGTCACAGAGAGATCAGAGGAAAAAGAGAGCTATATAGGTGAATTCTTTCCAAATGTATTGAAAGTGAATTTTACAATGCAACAGAACTAACATAGAAGCTATTTATACATGGTATTCAAATCAAGATTCATATTGTGAATCATGATGTAGATTTATTCATGCTTTGTGAAATTTATCTTATACATGAATTTTCTTTTTAATTTTTTTTTAAACGTTTTATGGCACAAATTTCGTGTTTTTGCATTGTCATGCAGAGTCAAACAAGCATTCTGAAAACTCATGAGTGTTTAGATGAGATGTGCTTTTCTCTCAGAGGTCTTGAGTTTGAATTAAATCCTAAATACACAGTAGTGTTAAATTCTTTTGAGAATGAATTTTTTATTTTGATCAGAGAACATACATTTTGTAAATAAAAGTTAATACCTATTTTTCCTCAATCATATGTGCCATTTTTGAAAAAACTTCTGTTAAAAAAAATTGAATTCTCTTCAACTACCTACCCATTCAAATCAAATGCCACCATTCTTACTAATTTACCCTTTACTTGATTTTTACTTAACACTAGATCAAGCCCTTTTAAGTAATTTACAAAATACAACATAATTGACCAATAGCATGGTCCAATTTTGCCAAGTGGCAGATTTTTTTTGAAAACTCTACTCTTCCCTCTTTCCCTCACCTTTTCCCTCTTTCCAATTTTCTTCCTCTCTCTTTCCCGGTTACTCTTTCTTTCTCTTTCCACAGTTCTTCCATTTTCTCTCTACCCCTTTCTCTTTTCCTATCAAACCCTAGCGGGTTCATCACTGTCATTGGTGCTACACGACCATCTCGATTGCAAAAGGTATGTTTTTCCCCTCTTCTATTGTTCTTTCTTTCATGTCCTCTTCTTCTTGTATTCATAGTAGATTTTGTTGAAAAAAAATTTGTTGTTATGTTCTTTGACTTTTGTAGTGTTTCATTGAAATAAGTGGCTTGGAAGGAATGGTTACACGATTGTGGAATTTGTTAGATGGTGGTGAGTGTTTGAAGTGGTTTTTGACGGTTTGTGATTATGGATCGGGAAAGAAACAATGGAAGAATAGTTTCTAAGTTTCTGGTTTATGGTTTTTCTGGTTTTTGGTTTTCTGTTTTAACTTTTAACATAGCTTTAGCTTTGTACATTTTTTTCGATTTTAGGGTTTTGATTTTTCTGATATTTCTCTGTTCTGTCTTCTACAGTTTTGGTTTTGTGTTTTGGTTTACGACTTACAATTTACATCGTTTAATTTTTGTTTTGGTTTACGACTTACAATTTATATCGCTTAATTTGTGTTTTGGTTTACGACTTACAATTGTTCAAGTTTTGATGTCACTGCGCGATCTATCTGCTAAATTTTTGATCAATTTTGTTTTTTCTGTTTTTTGGTTACACTATTGGTTTATTTGTATGCTGTTGTTGTGATTTGTTGAAGCTGATTTGATTGAGAATTTGGATATGATAAATCGTCGTATTGATGTGTTTGAATTTTGCTGAATGAAAACAGGTATCTGGACCTGTCGTTGTTTGAGTGTTGGAACTAATATTTTTGATGCAACCAGGCTCATGTTAAAGTGGCTTCTACAAGACGCTAATTTTGTGACTTGATCCCATTATCTCCGATCATATGACAGTTGGGCCAAGATGATGGGTTTATTCCGTGTGGCTCATGTTGAAGTTGGATATATCCTTTAATGTCATGTTGCTGTTTGTTAGAAATTGATTTATTCTTGTGTTCAAATTTAGGGATTATGATACATGATCCGTTAAGTTTTCCAAAGATGATGGGTTTATTCATTTTTTTCTTGATGTTTCTCCGAAAGAAGCTGGAAATAGTGATTGCTTGCAGGGTATGGTTTTCTAACTTTTGTTAATAATTTTAAGGTTTTGTTTATTTTTGAAAACAGGAGGGTAGCTCGCAGGCTCGATATCTTGATCATGGTAAGAATAAACCTTAATATTTTGATCCATATCTGCCCTCTTTTGAACTAGAAATTGGAGTAGTCACTCTTAATAATATATGTAATTGATTTAGTTTATTTATGTATTATATGAAAATGTTAGTTGTTAATCTGTCGGGGGGGAGAGAGTTTGTTAGCGATAGTGATCGAAATCCTAGACCTCATTCTTAATACCATGGTTTTAAATTGTGGTCGCGGTTGTGCATGTTGCGATTGCAGTCATTGCGGTTACTACGATACGCGTTGCGGCGTGGATACACTGAATATTCTGAAAAAAGAAAGCAAGATAAAGACGCAGGATGAGCTGGTGGAAGATATGCCGTGGGAATTCTGGAGTCAATTGTTGCTTCTAATTGATGGTTGGACACTTGAAAAGAAGATATCATTAGACGATGCAAAGTTTTTGAGAGAAATGACGTGGAAGAAAGACAAGACTATTAGTGATATATATATGGCTTGCAGAGGACAGAATGAAGATGAGGCTATATCTGCATTTCTTGGGCTTATATCATCTTCAACAAGGTATTTACTTATGCATATTTTTGATGTTTTAACAAATGGCAAGTTTGAAGCAATGTGTGTTGTTAGATTTTAGTTGACTTAAGAAAGTTAAGCATTTCATTTACTAAGTTTTCTTTTCCTATCTGTAGGTTTTCTTGGGACAAAGTGGAGGACTTGATCCTCAGGGTAATGAACTTCCGCGTTTAGTCTATGTTTCTCGTGAAAAGCGTCCAGGGTTCCAACATCACAAGAAGGCTGGTTCCATGAATTCACTTGTGAGTAAACTACAGAAAATGGTGAAATCTTATTTTTCTCTACCAGTGTACTTATCTCACCATTGATAATCAATCAATCTGTTTCAGGTTCGAGTATCAGCTGTCCTTACTAATGGACCTTTCTTATTGAATCTTGATTGTGATCATTACATAAACAACAGCAAGGCCTTGAGGGAAGCCATGATTGGTGAGATACTTTCTAAAGTTGCCCAAGAACATAGTTGTGGCCCGAAGGTTTACACAATACTACAATGTGCCCAATATTATTGTAAAATTAGCACAATCAATTTTTGATTTAAAAGGGCCTTTTTTTTTTAGATTACCTCTTTGTGACAGTGTAACAGTGTTCTCACAAAGTCAGCCTTCAATGTAACAGTGTTCTCACAAAGTCAGCCTTTGTTGTACCCTTTATTTTACGTCGTTTGTCTCCACTTATTATAATTTATAACTGTGACAAATTTGTGGTTTACCTAATTCTCACGGCCATGCAGGAAAAGAGTACAACAAAGGCTGGCTTTGTATCAAGGAGTCTGTCCTATTTACATGCAATTCTCTGAGGATTCTGAATAGACATTCACAAAAGCCTTGTTGCAGGTAATTTTTGGAGGATATCTTTGGTGTTTGAAATGTTACCTATATAGTAATTCTACTCCTTATTTGCTGATACAGTTTACATTCAAACATTCAACCTTGTATCGATTTATTCGTGCATGCAATACTTAACTATTAACCTTTACCCATTTTTGAACTTCTTGCTACTGGTACAAACAAATGCTTAACGTTGCAATTACCTATTAAAACGCCAACTGCTCAAACAAAAAGTTCCATTTTAATTTTCCGTGATCTCACGTATTGTTTCCGTATGCAGAAGAATGGGATGGTTAAAGAAGGAGAAGAAGTAACCCTTGTACAAAGTGGAAGGCAGTCCATTTGGAGGTTGCACTCTACTCACAATATCCAGGTCTGAACAGTAGCCAACACGAATTAAGCCAGACTTGCAATATCCAGGTCCGAACAGTAGCCAACACGAATTAAGCCAAACTCGAATTATAATGAGGTAATAGTCATCCACAATGACTAGGACAATTTATAATGATTAGTTCTTGCTGGTTTCCTTCTTTTACCATGTATTTCATTCTATTTACACTTTCTCCTGCTCCACTGTTTCATTTGTGCATACTCTTTTGGCTCAATGCTAAAATTGATTTTCCTTCCATGCAGATAAACACACTAATAGCTAATGCTGACAAAAAATCATTAAGGAAAGCAGTTACCGAGAAGATGTTTTCTGTATGCTTCAGTTCCTTTTTGTGATTTATTTTAGCTAAGATACAGCTGTGTACATTTTTCATCAATAATTTTCAGAGTTTTGTTTAACCAAGATGATGTGGTAACTCCAAATTCTCCACTTACTGTGATTCTATGTAATTTGTATTTTCTTGCTTGAATCATGATGACGATTTTCTGTAATTTGTTTTTTCTTCCTATTATTTTTTTATGGAAATTTTGTCTATACAGATCGGAGTTGACCGAAATGACACAAATAAAGTATTTTATCAGCTCGCTATGGAGATTTTGGCTAAACAAGTATGCTTTGTTACATATTAAAATTTGTCTCATTACAAAAAATTTATACCCTTGGCTTCATGACTACTGGGACTTCAAAAACTTAGGACAGTGAATTGACATTATATTACTTGCAGAAATTTGAAGGATATGATTTAAAAGGTTCTGTTGTTGCTGGAAATAAAAACAAAGGTAATTTTAGTCAATTGCTTTGCTCACGTGGTTAAAACCCGATCTCAGTAATATATCAATTTGGCTTGACGGGGCTTCTTTCCGAAACACCAGTAGTTATATATGTAAAATATTTTTGATGTTCTTACTTTCCGTTGTTTACTTTCACTGAATGAAGGCTTTGACGCTGCTGTTGGAAGGAGAAGGGGCTGAAATGTGCTGTGACGGTAATAGTCATCCACAAGGTCTAAGACAATTTATAATGATTAGTTCTTGCTGGTTTCCTTCTTTTACCATGCCTTTCACTTTGATTTCATTCTGTTTCATATGAAGTTACAATATATTTCATGTATCTTGTGTGATATAGTCGCGAAAACATTCTGAGGTGATTCAATCTTGGTTTCTAACCTTGTGTGTCATTCCAGGAGATGAGTGCTGATGTATATTCTCAATTGCTTATGGCATTGGTTATGCCATAGTTTTTGCTGTCTCCAGTGATGCATTACATATTTCTTAGTCATTTTCAGAGGCTGAATATGCCACTCGCACATCATGTTGTGGTAGCACAATTACTACTTTTGATCTGAGTTTGTATTTGCAATAGGTGGGTTGAGCGTGGAATCGCTACTCTGGCAGTTATGGGTCAGAACATGGGAAGACTCTAGGCCTGAAGTATCTGATTCTGAATCAAATGATTTGCAAGAAAAATGGGCTGCAGATCAGGCGGCAATTGGCAGAGCTTTTGCCGCACTGTTGCAGCAGGTTTGGCTAACCCCTTTGTCCACACAGGTTAGTTTTAGTTTGAGGGCCTGGCTAAATTTGATTTTCTCAGGAGTATTATTCTGGAGGAAAATCCAATTAGAGAGTTTGAATGGGATTCTTGAAACAATAGCTGTGATGATTTCACTTGTGAGGTGGAATTCATTCTCTTTTTGAAATTCCTCAATTGTTTTACAGCTGCCGTGACAATAAAATGTCCCGACTGCATGCACTTCTAATTTAGATCCTATTTGATGTACAATCAGACTGGCTGTGCTGATTAGTCTTTTTGCTTTCAGATATTAGCTGCTTGCCTTTAATTTAATCATACATTATATTCATATGAAATGTTTTCAATGTCAATTTATTTGAAGTGTTTTCTGAATTTTATAAGGATCAACAAGACCAGAATTCTCTGACTTCATCATGCATAGAAGATTTGTCAACTTTGCTACGATCTGTTATGCTTTCTATTGATTCAAGCCACTTGATTCAAGAGCTGAAAGTGTCAGAGCTGCTGCCAGTTTGGGCTGAAATGATTGCAGAGTGGCACGCATGGGAAGAATCAGAAGACTTGTCGATTTTTGATGTGATTAAGGAAATCGTGAATTTAGATCGTTCATATAGGCTGAAAAACTTTCTTGTAAAAGAGGTTCCACCCCCTCCACCTCCACCTGTGCCTGAACGTTCAATTGTAGAAGGAATTAGCACTTTTGTTAGTGAGGCCATTAAGCAATATCCTTCTGCCACATATAAAGCTTGCTCCTGTGTCCATGCATTACTACACTGTCCGACCTACTCAATTGAAACTGAAGGTGTAAAACAATCATTAGCACTTTTTAGTCGAGGATGAAGACGGCCCTGTCACATCTGTGAGTTGGGCTCTTGATGGGCGTCATATTGCTGTTGGTTTAAACAACTCTGAAGTGCAGCTATGGGATACAGCTTCCGATAAGCAGATATGTTATCCTTCAAATTATATACACCACTTTATGAACTATATTCCACTAGCTCTTACCTGAGCTGAAACTTTATATATTAACAATCCTTATAATGAGATAGTTTGTCATGTGTGTTGTATGTGAGTTTTAATGCTTTTTTCAAACTATATCATTCCATGCTGCCAATCAGACTTTGTCGGTTTTGTGAAGCTGGTGTAATGGACGGCCTTTCTTTGCAAGTAAGCCATGCTGCCAATCAGACTTTGTCTTCAGTACCTGATGAGTTTTCTGACAATTTTCTTTATCATAAGATAATATCCTCACTGAATTATTTATTCACCATGAAATTCAGAGGCTTTTAGAGAATACTTTTCGGCTTGATCTTGAAGCAATGCGAGAGTAAGATATCTTTTATTCTATATTTCTGGTTTAACTATTACAGGGAGTAGACATCTTTTAGAGAATACTTTTTTTATGACTTAGTACAGAAATGGTGTCTGCATTAGGCTCATGATCGGTGGATTTAACTTGTGTTTTCAGACGCTGTTTGTTGTTAATTTCACACCGTTTTTATCTGTTTTCGAAGCTTTAGTTGTTGTTATCTGAGTTACTCGCAGTTGTTTTTATTCAAGTCTTATTTTGAATTGTGTATTACTTTTGCCGTTGGTGCGTTTGATTCGGGTTCTTTTAGTGTGTTTTTGGCAGGAATTGATAGCATGACAGTCGCACCGCTTTCGGAGGCAAAGAAAAGTCGGAAAAGGGAAGTCAGAGCCACAACACGGGTACCCGTGTTGCACAACACGACCCTTGTCATGGAGGACACGGTTGGCAGACACGGGTAGGAGAAGCAGAGGAAAATGGGAAACAGACGTACAACACGGGTGCCCGTGTCATGCAACACAGCCCGTGTTGCAGCCCTTGTAGAAGAAAACGTGCCCTGAAGGAGTCAGCAGCCTGACACGGCCACCCGTGTTGCACAACACGGCCCGTGTCATGGCCACTGAGAGTGAAATTGTTATTTTTCTGATTTTTATGTCGTCAGACCTATTTCGAATGGCATTTGAGACATTTCGCAATGTAATTTAAATTTAGATATAAGAGCCACTTTTTAGAAAGAGGAAGACACTTTTGAATTGAGATTAGGATTGACAACTGAGGAGAGAGTTTTGCTGGAGAACAAAGGATCGATCAAAAGCGGAAGCAATTGATGATCCAAGGGATCCAACTCGAATTGTAATGATCTTCTCCTTTTCATTTCTAATTGCATTTATGTTTACGAAGAACATGAGCAGCTAAACCCCCAGTTGTTAGGGGGTGGTCCTAAGTTGCGATGTAATGACCTTTGTTTGATTATGCTATGAGAATTATGTTATTCACTATATATATATATATATATATATATATATATATATATATATATATATATATATATATATATATATATATATATATATATATATATATATATATATATATATATATATATATATATATATATATATATATATATATATTTTATTTTGCAACAATCTTAATGCGTATTCATATTAGAAAGTAGAATTTGAATTATGCTTAGGTTTTAGTCTGGAAAGTCAACCTAACACTTTTGCAAAATAGTCTCACGGTCGATAGTGTAAAGGAAAAGAGTTTCATGTACACTAATTCCTCAGTGTCCATGAAAAGCATCAAGCAATAGTTCCGACCATAAAATACGTGATACGGGATATCCTCATTCCTAAGCAATATCGACCGTGAGACTATTTTGCAAAAGTGTTAGGTTGACTTTCCAGACTAAAACCTAAACATAATTCGAATTCTACTTTCCAATATGAATACGCATTAAGATTGTTGCAAAATAAAATATATATATGGTGAATAACATAATTCTCATAGCATAATCAAACAAAGGTCATTACATCGCAACTTAGGACCACCCCCTAACAACTGGGGGTTTAGCTGCTCATGTTCTTCGTAAACATAAATGCAATTAGAAATGAAAAGGAGAAGATCATTACAATTCGAGTTGGATCTTGGATCATCAATTGCTTCCGCTTTTGATCGATCATTTGTTCTCCAGCAAAACTCTCTCCTCAGTTGTCAATCCTAATCTCAATTCAAAAGTGTCTTCCTCTTTCTAAAAAGTGGCTCTTATATCTAAATTTAAATTACATTGCGAAATGTCTCAAATGCCCTTCGAAATAGGTCTGACGACATAAAAATCAGAAAAATAACAATTTCACTCTCAGTGGCCATGACACGGGCCGTGTTGTGCAACACGGGTGGCCGTGTCAGGCTGCTGACTCCTTCAGGACACGTTTTCTTCTACAAGGGCTGCAACACGGGCCGTGTTGCATGACACGGGCACCCGTGTTGTACGTCTGTTTCCCATTTTCCTCTGTTTCTCCTACCCGTGTCTGCCAACCGTGTCCTCCATGACACGGGCCGTGTTGTGCAACACGGGTACC